TTGTACCTTATCTTTCGCCCAGTCACGTAAAAAATAAAAAAATTCTCAAAACTTTCCGAAATTTTAAAACTCAGAGGGAAAAACTTTGTACTGATGACGTCAATCGTGCGTCTATCCTCTAAAGATCATAGGCGAAAATCAATCAAAACGTGAGAATTTTTGGGATTATTATGTAATGTATTGCATTGTATTGCATTGCATTGCATTGTATTGTATTGTTTAATCTGCGGGCACTCACCTGTACACCTAGTTGGAAAGAGTTACAAAAGTATGATGTTATTTTAAATAACCAAAAAACTTGATTTGTCAGATTATCTTTTTTCAGGGTTTATAGACGAAGAAGCTATGAACAACATAGAAGACATTTTCCAAGTCATCTGTATTGGCTTGGCTGTTGCTACTTTCCTTCTCAACACTGGACGTAGTCTCAAAGCCATTGCGGTCTGCAAAGAATGTTTGAATTTCCTACTTAATGAAGTGTCGGGAAAGGAAGAACAAATTTTCAATTTCCTTAACATTGCTATATACAAAGCACTGTTCAAGGCGCACTTTCTTGTCAACGATTGTATGAATGCAACAAAATGCGGTTGGATACTTCTTGACATTTACCGCGAGTGTAGCGAAACTGCCAAAGTAGGGATTCTTATATTAATGCTGGCTAACATTTGTGAGCAGCAATTTATATACAAAGAAGCAAGACAACTTTACAAGAAAGGTATAAATATCTTGAGAGTAACAGGCGACAAAAAAGGAGAGGCCTATGCTTATGGGAAGTGTGGAGCCATGTCTCATCATTTCGCTGAACATGATAAAGCTAAAGAATATCTTGAGAAAGCCCTTGCCATCAAATTAGAAATTGGTGACAGACAAGGCGAAGCAGGTTGTTGTGGAATCTTGGGGTCTCTGTCGAAATCTCTAGGTAAGTATGTCAAAGCTAAAGAATATTTTAAGAACGTACTTGCCATCAAAATAGAAATTGGTGACAGAAGAGAAGAGGCAAAAGGTTATGGAAACTTAGGAACTGTGTCGATATCTATCGGTGAATATGGCAAAGCTAAAGAATATCTTGAGAAAGCACTTGCAATCATAATAGAAATTGGTGACAGCGCAGGAGAAGCAGTCTGTTACGCAAACCTCGGAACTCTGTTTCAATCGCTTGGTGAATATGAGAAAGCTAAAGAATATCTTGAGAAAGCACTTGCAATCAAACTAGAAATTGGAGACAGAGCAGGAGAAGCAGTGTGTTACGCAAACCTCGGAACTCTGTTTCAATCTCTTGGTGAATATGAGAAAGCTAAAGAAAATCTTGAGAAGGCACTCGCGATCAGAATTAAAATTTGTGACAGAAGAGGAGAAGCAGCAGATTACGGAAACTTAGGAACCATATTTCAATCTCTTGGTGATTATATTATGACAGAGCCAAAGAATACATTGAGAAAGCACTTGCGATCAGGATAGAAATTGGTGACAGAGCCGGGGAATCAGTGGATGAGTCGAACTTAGGAATGGTGTTTCAATCTCTCGGTGAATGGGACAAGACTGAAGATTATCTTGAGAAGGGACTTTCAATAATTCAAGATATTGGAGACCTTGACAAAGAGACTAAATCTCTTTGTTACCTTCCAGTGGTGAAGTTATTGCAAGGGAAGTTCAAGGACGGGTTTGACTGTCTAGTCTTGAGTATGGACAAAAGCGAAAGTTTGCGTGGTTTTCTAATAGACAACGATCAGTTTAAGATATCGTTTTAAGACGTTCACAATTTTCCCTACCGGAGTCTTAGCTTCATGTTTTGTTTATTTGGGAATCACAACAATGCTCTTTATGTTCTAGAGCTGGCACGAGCTAGAGCCTTGGCAGACTTGATGAAGACTCAGCACTCTGTTGAACTGCATATCTCAGCTAACCCGAAGACATGGTTTGGCATTGAGAATATTATGAAGAATGAAAGTGACTGTGCTTGCCTGTACATTTCGTATGTTGATCATTTTGTGTTTTTGTGGATTCTCCAAACGAGCGGCGTCATTCATTTTCGAACAATAAGAGTAGACGAGATCATTATTGGTGCAGGATCAGTTGGCAGTTTAGATGAATTCTTTGCGACAGGCTTTCGAAGTTTTGGTATTTTACCCGGAGAGAATTACGAAGATCGATCTTTAAATGCCTCTGAACCAGAACTAAGGTCACGCGAGGAAGAAGGTTTCGCTGCGGCGGCTTTGCGACCTGAAGAAAATTGTGTTGAAAGGAGTGTAAATTCCGAATCAAGCCTTTCTTTGTGTCACAGAATGCTCATCGGTCCTGTAGCTGACTTGCTTAGGGAGCGCGAAATTATCATTGTTCCTGATGGCTTCTTGAACCGCGTTCCGTTTGCGGCATTAACTGACGAAGATGGAAAGTATTTATCCGAGACTTTCAGGATTCGCATCGTTCCTTCTTTGACGACTCTCAAGCTCCTGCAGGACAGTCCTGCAGACTACCACAACCAGACTGGTGCACTGATAGTGGGGGATGCAGATGTTGGTAGAGTACGTTACAAGGGAAGCAAAACGACGTTTTCCAGGTTACCCCGTGCAGGAAATAAGGCAGCCATGATTGGGCGATTGCTGGGTGTTCAGCCTTTGATAGGACAATACGCAACAAAGCAGGTGGTACTTGAAGAGTTACATTCTGTGGCTCCGGTACACTTCGCTGCACATGGTAATGCCGAAAGAGGAGAAATTGCCCTTTCTCCCGTACGTTCTACTAATAGGATTCCAAAAGAAGAAGATTACCTTTTGACGATACCCGACGTTGCAAACGTTCAACTGCGAGTTAAACTGGTGGTAATTAGCTGCTGTCATAGTGCACGTGGGCAGATCAGAGCCGAGGGAGTTATAGGAATCGCTCGAGCGTTCTTAGGATCTGGTGCACGATTAGTACTGGTGGCGCTTTGGGCAATAAGCGATATTGCAACAGAGCAGCTGATGTGTCGTTTTTACGAGCATCTTGTTCGTGGGGAGAGTGCCAGTGAATCTCTTCACCAGACCATGAAATGGATGAGAAGTAACGGCTTTATCAAGGTTTCCAATTGGGCACCATTTATGCTGATTGGAGATGACGTAACATTTGAGTTTGGAAAACAAGAAAAATAAAAGTAAGTTTCTTTGAATAAGTAAAGGAAAAAAGGAGATCCAAATCGTGGCAGCCCAGTTTTCAACTGGTCTTTCACCATTTAACAGTTAGACGGCCAGCTCGAGATTTCTATCGGCTGATTCTCCACTCGCCATGCACTCTCAAAGCTGTTAGAAACCGAGGGCCATCGAATTTTCTTCGAAGTAGCATAACTCACAGATCCAAATCGTGGCAGCCCAGTTTTCAACTGATCTTTCACCATTTAACAGCTAGACGGCCAGCTCGAGATTTCTATCGGCTGATTCTCCACTCGCCATGCACTCTCAAAGCTGTTAGAAACCGAGGGCCATCGAATTTTCTTCGAAGTAGCATAACTCACAGATCCAAATCGTGGCAGCCCAGTTTTCAACTGATCNGGGTTGTTGCGAAGCATTAATGTTTCACCTACTTTAGTTTCATTACAAGAGAGAAGACTGACATGCTGTAGTCCTATAAAGTGCTTTGTACGTTGAGGACCAGAATTAGCTTCATACCGTTAGATGAGGGAGGAATTCATTTTATTATATAACAAACCAATGAAATACAAGGCGAGCTTTCGCACGAAAACAGATCTTCACACGTGACGTGTTATTTTCACATGTGACAAGATCACCGTTGCTATGGTTACTTAATAAATGTCCCCTCTCGCAGCGAAAGTGAAATGGTTTGAGGTTTCATTGGCGTTGATACAGTAAATAGAATATTACATGGCCACTTGGAGATACGAAATTTCTCTTCTCGTGTGGAAAAATGTTTCCCTCGCTCGCTGCCCTCACTCGTGAAATATGTTTCAAAAAAAGAAGAGAAATTTCTTATCTCCGCGTGGCCATGTAATATCCCTATTTATCCAGCGGGTGAACTTGAATCTTTTACAGAGATACTGATTGGTTATTTTCATGATATGTTATAGAGATAATGAGTGGCTAATTTCACTTTCTGGTACAGTGACTCTGATTGGTTAATTTCACGTTCTGTTACGAAGATTTGCCTTTTCTGCTACGGACACACTGAATGGTTATTTCATGTTCTGTTATTGAGACACTGAGTGGTTATGTTTCATGTTCTGTTACACGGATGCTGTTTGCATGGTTATTTTCATGTTCTGTTTCAGATATACTGATTGGTTAATTTCCCGTTCTGTTACAGAGACACTGATTGGTTATGTTCTTGCATCACAACAACCTTGTCATTGAGGTATAGACATCAGAGATGATGTCCACACAGATTTGCTGAACTGCCGTTCACGTTCCTAGTATTTATCTACCCGTGGCGTGTTGTAGGAGTGGAAACAAGATATAATCAAAAGGACAAGTTACGTTTTGTAAGAAATAAATCCACACCAAGACTGATTGAAGGAAAGTAGTAGAACAAGTGATTGGTCAGTAGGTGAGCGAGTAGTCAATAGCAGAGATTGATGTCTAATTTCCTTAATTACACAAGACCAATACATTATTAACGGCATACAGGTGATAAGAGAATTAGAAATCATCAAGTAGGAAATATTGTCTTGATGGAACACAAAATTCCCAGAACCATCATTTAAAAGTATATGTTATTAAGTAAAGTGAATTAAAATTTTGAGATTGTTTTGAGCTGAGTGCATGGAAAGAAGCTAGAGGAACCCTTTTTTTCCTTGAGAGTTATTTTCTGTAAGCTTGCCTCTGAGGATTTATTCCACAATCGACAATAAGCGACTAATGATTGATTGCCGGGCGCGGTTGTTTAAAGAACGGCGGAGGTCCCATACACTTGGGCAAAAGCTTTCCCGGGGCCTTGATATGAAAGAAGAGTTGTTCCTTCTTACTAACATATATAAGAACTGGCCTTCTCGTTCACGTTGTTTAGGTTTAGTTCTGATTACAATAATATCCCTAGTAGGCAAGGTTTTTTGCGGGGGGTGGGGGGAGAGGGAAGTTGCTCGCTTGCTCCAGTGTCAGCCTGCTCCCCCTTCAAAGTCAGTTTTCCATCCAGGATCAACTTTCTGCCAATCTTGTGATTTCTTTTGTGAGCAGTTTCCATTCAGCGCTCTGTAGAAATGTGTCAAAAGTTCTCGAGTGACTTGTGTTACAAGGGAAACAATCTCTCCACGTAGGTAGGCCCTTAGCTCATTCAAGGTTGGCGTGACGCTTCATTTCCTATTTCAAAAATTTCAATCAGCTCTACCTTTATATTTTTGTCCGTCTGTTTTAGACCTATGTTCAACGCCACAAAGCATTAGTTTTATCAAATAAGAGGAGCTGAAAAAAGCTTGAAACGTTTTCCAGTCGCCAGTTAAAAGCGATAAATACAAACCTTGATCTGAGAGTCTCAAATAACTGATACTTATAGAACTTAAAATCTGTTGAAACTGGTTTTCTCCTCTCCCAAAGGCTCTCGAGGATAGCATGGTAAAGAACGTCCCCTCCCCGGTCTTCACACGTGCGCTTGCATGCTCTCCCCTGTAACAATCAAAGCCGCTCCCAGCTTTTCAGACACTTCATACTTGAAGGGGGTATTCAATTTCCTCCCTCCTTCCCCCTTCCTCAGAAAAAAAGGAAAACGAGCCCTGTGGAATATAAAGCTATCTGTTTATCTGGTTATAAAGAAATTTCCCATGATTTAAAATACGGGCACTTTTAACATTGTTAATTTGGACGTATGGTTGCGTTTTTACATATTATGACATTACTAATTTGCATTCCCAAAACGTCAGCCGAGCCACCAAAAATGACTCAAAAGTAATCAATCGAGGCAAAAAAAATGCAACGCTAAAATGTAAAATAACTATATTGATCATAGATAGGCTTTGCTATTTAAAACAAGAAAATTCCGCATTTGGAAAAACACGCTGGTCAAAAGTATCTTACTAAATTGTTATTAGGTAAATCTCAGTTAAATTTGCAAAGCTTGGCTGCTTTAATTTAACTAAAGTTTTGACAAATGTATTAACGATTAAAGTCAGTGGGGACACTTATGCCCTACCTCCAGCTCCCTGAGATTCTAAGAGCGGTTAAAGGAGGGTATTTGAAAATATCAATGTCATGATAATTTGCAGCTCTCCTTTTGGAGCTAAAAAAAGTCAAAACTGATTACGAAAGCCCGTTCGGAAACCTGCATTTTCGCAAAGCTATTTATCTAAAAAAACATTAACGTAAAATACTGTATAAACTGGAAATGATCACATGAACAAAATACCATACGGTAGCAAGTTAACCAAAGAAACGTAAAATCCTGCCAAAAAAGGGCTAAAGATATTAAAGAACAGGTTTTCCTTCAGTGTTCAGTGTTCCGGTCGTAGGCGCAAAAACTACAACTTTAAACGCCTGTAGAAACGCGGGAATTTTATCAACTTTTTCGCTGAAGTAATTAGAAAAACTAGTAGATTTCATTAAAGGTAAAATAGAATGGGGGGTTTGTTGCGTTTTAAGAACATTACTGCGGATTGACAATCCATTCCACGGCTCTCTCAAATCCCGTCATCATGGTAACCCTGCAGCAGATCTGCGTCTACTTGGCCAGAGATACTCGATTTTGGCAGGGAAGTTCACGTGCAACCAAACCATTGCAGTTAGCCACTGACCTCCATGTGCGCCATCGATTCACTTTATCCGGAATCTCGCGATCCGTTACAAGAATAGGAGCGCGAAGAAACTGCATAAACTCTTTGTTGTTGTCGTGATACTGCATAAAGCCCTCTTTTTTGTTGGAATAGGCAATTAATTGCGGGAGTTTGGATGTCTTGTAGCACTTGTTGACGGAAGCCTTTTGTCGTTTCTAAGGAACGAAGTAGTTCTTTTTGAAACAGAGAAATATGATCAGACGAGTTTTGAAATTCCGTAATGATAACAGCAGAATGGTTAGCTCTGTTCAACAGTGGCTCGCACATGTCCAAGTTGCGAGTAAGTGGCTCATAATCAGCTATGTTTGAGGTGGTGACGCGATCAAACTTACGGTCTGGAGAAAGGAATGGAGCCATCTCCTTGCAGCTGCCGCAACAGGAAGTGAAATTTCACCCGTCCTGTGGCCAATGTCGGAACGGACTTCCCGAGCAAGTGACCCATATTCTGGCTGTACATCGGGAGAAGAGAGGCGCAATGAAAATGTTGTTTAATGTCTTTGCAGTCCCTTGATACAAATAGAATCATATATTATTGGGCACAGTTCAAACATCGTATGGGCATCTTATGCTTCCAGTAATTGTTCGTTGTCTTGTGAGGCATATCAGCATCAACCAATTTGATGATGATGATGACCAGGATGATGATGATGTTGAAAACGCCTGTATAACAAAAGTATACAAGCTAACAGAAATTTCACTGTACTCCTTTTGTGAAGTTTTGAAACATAAGGAGCATTACTGTGGATTGACAATCCATTCTACGACTCGGCTGAACCCACTCAACATGGTGACTCTGCGGCAGTTGTTCGTCCACTTGAACGGAAGAAATCGATTTTGGTTGCGAAGGAAGTCGCGCGCAACCAAGCCATTATAGTCAGCCACTGACTTCCATATGCGCGGTCGATTCACTTTATCCGGGATCTCATGATCACTAACAAGCAGAGCAGCGCGAAGAAACTGGATGAATTCCTCGCTGAGGTCGTAGTAATCCATAAACGCTACCCTCCCCTGGGAAAAGGCAATGGCGCGATTTTGGGTGTCTTCCAGGACTTTTTGGCGAAAGCTTTCAGGCAGTTGTGAGAAATGACGTATCAATTTTTCATTTAAGCCTGTAGGCTCATGCCAGTTTTGAAATTCTGTGATGATAACAGCTGAAGTGTTGGCTGTGTTCAACAATGGTTTACACATGTCCAAGATGCTGGTAAGTGGCTCGTAATCAGCTATGTTTGAAGTGGTGACACGGTCATACTTCCGGTGTAGGGGAAGAAATGGAACCATCTCCATACAGTTGCACAACAGGAAGTGAAACTTTACCTGTGTTGTGGACAGTGTCACAACGCACCTCTCGAGCAAGTGTCCCACATACTGACTGTACATCTTGAGAACGGAGGCGCAATGAAAATGTTGTTTAACGTCTTTGTAATCCCATGATATAAATGGAATTAGAGAAGGATCCAGTATGTAACTGAATCGGTAAGGACCACCAATTTTATTCAAAAAAGCGGCAGGAAAGCCAGTTAGAGTAACATTCTCACGAGTGAGCTCTTTTCGCGATGCCTTGGGTAACAGAATGCCGTTCGCAAACCAGTCAGAGGCAGATTCTTTATGCTCCTTTGGGATTTGGTTCAAGTACAATTTGATTCCTTCCTCTGAACCCGAATGATTCTCAACTTTTCTTCGCCGCTCCTCTGTAATCCAGTCTCCCTCTCGAGAACTAAGGTGAAACCATGTACGCCACACTTGCACGAGTGTGCGAAGATGGTCTTGCTCCATCGTCATTGTGCCTCCTGTCAATTCTTCAAGGCTGGATGCATGGATTAGTTCTTGAAGGGTGCGCATCACAAGCTTGAAGTCCTCTTCACTGAGTCGCAGTGAATACCAAATTTGCGTCACAGAGTTTGCTACCTGCTCTCCTCCTGTAAGGTGAAAATGAATCAGTTTTAAGTGCTCTATGTAGGTGAACGTCTTATAACTATGTTATGTGTAAAGAAGACAAAAAATATATATTTATATACATGCAAGTAATGATGGTAGGCCATTCCGCCCGATGTATAAGCTATGCTATTGAAGACGAACAGGACCTAACGTCCTTGTAGATCGTCAGGAAGATTGTGAGAGTAACCGTGAGACCATTTGGATAAGGCGCGAGGTGTTTCGTTTCATGATGAATGGATGTTCTTGGAGAGGGGAAGCCTTGGAGTGGGATATTAATTTAGAAAACAACTGAATTCATTTCAATTGGTGTTTTGGCTGCCTTATTAGAGGTTTTCGAACTGATTTAGATTCTCTTGCAGCTAACTGCAGTCTGACTAGGCATTGTTAACCCTTCCTCTCTCGAAAGCACCCTAGCTAGTTCAAACGTTCAAAGGTGAAGATGTACCATCATTTAATTTTGTACAAATGATGAAAAAAAATTGTTATTACACTAAATTAATCGACTTGACAGCTATTATTTGAACAATCAAATGCACACTACTTTGTCATTAATAGAATTTCAAGTTAGAACTATCCTGTACAATTTGATGTTCTTAAAACAAATATTTGCCCGAGAAGCGAGGTTTCGAGGGAAAATATGCTAGTTTTAAGAACATCAAATTTCCAAGGGGCAACTATCAGAC